AACCCTCAGCTCTTCACCCAGATGTCACTTCTCAGCGATGCCTTCACTGTTATCTTAAATAATGTATCCAGTTCTAGTCACTCCCAAGACCTCTTCTCTGCTTTATTTTTCTCCAAAGCATCTCCCCTCTGATATACTATATATTTTGCTTTATCTTTATCTTGTTACTGTGTGTTCTCACTCCTCTTTTAGACTGGAAGTTTCATAAATACATGGATTTTTGTCCACTTTGGTCTCTTGGGGCTGTCCCTAGCACCTACAACAGTTCTTGGCTACCTGATAGGCACTTAGTAAATTTGTCAAATTAACATCTCTTTCTAGTCTTTTTCTATGTGTTTTTCTATGGTCGTGTTCAGCTTATATGGAGACTAGAACTGTGTATCTTTTTTCTTATATTACTGGTCACTAATTATATCATAATAATTTTCTCATGACATTAAAACTGCATGGAATACAGGCAGCCCTCTCTTTGCACGTTTCCTTATGCACAGATTTCAGTTACCATGGTTCAGTTAAATAACGTGAATCCCCCAACAGCACAATTCAGATTTCCATTACCGGTGTATTAACTGTGAGTAACTGCATAAAGTACAGACTGCTGCTAACTCCTTAGTTCACAGAACACTGCATAAGTAACAGGTGTGTATCATGACTAGTCATGACATTTTAAAGTGGTGACTGGTCACCGTGCATTTCTTAGTTTATGCACATACAGCAGGGCATACAGTTGTGTTCCTTCATTGTCTCCAGTGATAAACCCACATGATAGTTTACAAAAATAGATGATTGAAAGAAAGAAGTGACCAACAAGGATGAGAATGCAGTAGAGAAATAGTAAGAAGGATGGAAGTGAGATTCAGCTAGAACCTCAGAGGAATTATGGAAGAACCAGCTGGCTGGAGAGACTCTAGACAGCCAAAAGAATTTAGTGATGCTAAACTTACCGGCATAAGTGAGGGAAATGGTTGTGATGAAAAGAGTGAAAATGTCCCGGCAATGGAACTGATGCTAGCAAAAAGCTTCACATTAAAGAAATTCCCAGAGATGATATTGCATGACATTGAAAGCACAGAGGATACAATGTTGGAAGCTGATCCAAAGTTAGAAAGGCATTTGACAGTTTTCCAGTGTGTGGAAGATACTGCACATCGTAGGTTACATGACTTAGAAAGAAGATAAGCACTATTCAATTGACTTGGTAATTTTTTTCACACACACACACACACAAAAAAAACTTTAATTTTTAATATTTTAAATCATAGTGCTCTAAATAAATACTAGTTACTATTTCTTTAATTGCACTAAACATAACTGATAGTAAGAGTTTTCATTGTTCTGACAAAAATTTCTAAAGGTCATAGGATAAATCAGTTTTCCACATTGAATAAAATCTCTTTACATGTTTTCAGCTTGCATTCATTTTTTCAGTCCTGCACTACCATGCAAATCAAAAACTTCCAGTATCGTTTGACATGATTGTATGAATGTGCCATAATTTATTTACCCATTTCCCTATATTAGTGTTTTCTAATTTCAAACTATTGAAGATAAATCTGTAACAAATTTTTTAAAATAAATATATTTTTTATTGAATTTTTTAAAATAAATATAGTTTTTATTGATTCCTTTAAAAAAAAGAGAGTTGTAAAAGTATGTCTGGTGAGTCAAAAGGGCATTTTGGGGCACTTTTTTTTTTTTTTTTAAGATCTTGAGTATATAGTAAGTACCACATCATCTCCGAGAGCAGTTGTGCCATTTCACACTCCCATCAGCAGCGTGTGTCTGTCCCAGCATGCTCTAACACAGTCTTTACGGATCTTCACCAATCCTGAAAATGATGTCTTACTGTAATTTTATTTGTTTTTCTTTGATTACAAGTGATGTTGGGTATTTTTACATTATATGCTGGCTACTTCTATGAAGTGCCTTAAAGTTCTTTTTTTTTTCTTTTCTTTTTTTTTAAGTTCTTTATTTTTCTAATGAGGATTGTTCAATTCTTTATTTCTAAATAATGTATTTTATGGTAATCCCTTCACACTTTAATGATTATTGGTTTAGTACCTGTTCATCTTAACGGTTACAAAGGGAAAAACTCACATTTGATCCCACTTCTCAGAGTCTTTCCAACATTTTTCAATAGCAGCTTTTATTTTTATGGAATTAAAACATGCAGTGGACACTGTTAAGTGATTAGCAATAAGAGGTTGTGTTAGGGTTCGCCAGACAAACAAGACCAATATAATATATGTAAAGAGGTTTATTTTAAGAAACTGGCTCACATGATTGTGGGGCTGGCGAATCTGAAATATGTAGAGCAGGCTGGAAACTCAGGCAGGAATGATGCTACAGTCCTGAGGCAGAATTCTTTCTTCTCCTGGAAACCTCACATTTTGCTCCTAAGGTCTTCAACTGACTAAATGAGGCTTCCATTATTACTGAGAGTAGTAATGCCCTTTATTTTAAAGCCAGCTGATATTGTATATGTTAGACCACATCTACAAAATCCCTTCACGGCAACACCCACACTAGTGTTAGATTAAATAACTAGGCACTATAGCCTAGCCAAGCTCATGAAACTAACCACTGAAGAAGTTTTGGCAACACTTTGTCGGAAGTATAACCAGACTGAGATGCCGTGGTTTGACTTAGTAGATGAAGTCTGGGTATGACTGCTGGTTAACGTGAGCAGATGGAGTAGACTATAAGCATTTTCTTCATTAAGACCAGCTGGTCTGATTGCTCAATGTCTACCTTGAAATTTATTGAAGCTTCCCTCTTTAGCATGTTTTATATTTATTACAAAATTAGATATATCTTCATCAGTGTCCCAAAGTAACTAAACTAAGCGGGCCAGATGTCCAGGGTTGATTTACACCTGGACCGATCAATATGAAGAGAGTGCCTGTAAAGCGTGTAGTTTTCATCTTGTCTAGCTTTGACATCGCAGCAAGGGCTTGGAAAGGGGGAAAAGTAGAAGGCCTACCAGTCCAGCCCAGGGCTTGGCCACAGGGGTTCACATGCAGTGCTTCTAATCAGTCTAGACTTGACGGTCAAGTTTGACCAAGGAGATGGCCATGTAGGTCATCTGCCAGGACATTCTTCCAGGGACATTTAATACATCAAGAATTTCTCTAATCCTAGGAGTTGCTGCTGAATTGTCTCATCCTGCTATTTAATGAATTAAATCATCAAGCAGTACATAGTATAAGCATGCAGAGAAACTGCTGGCTGATGTATTTAAGAATTAAAAAAAAAACAAAAAAACAAGATGCCTTTGAAGTCCCCTTACAGCTAGCTACTCTTTAGGATTACTAAATACAGAAGTGCTTTTCATACATACACACAATAATTCTTGCTTTCTTAATTTGGACGGGAACTTGGATAAAAGACTATCCTTTTAATTATCTGTAAACAGAATGGTTGAAACAGCCTACTTGAGAGAAATGAGTTCATAAAATTTAAGTAGTTTTTTTAAAACAGACTGCTAATTTATCCAGTTGTTGAAACATGTTTAAGAGAACTTGCAAGTAGGTAAGTCTAGTATTTTATGTGCTTTCAGATAGACACTGAAATGTGGGCAACAAATTAGTGTGATAATTGCTTTGAATTATGGGCTTATTGGTTAGGCTCAGCTCCTAGAGCCACATCACACCTGAATTGAAACCTGCCTCTACCTCTCATGAGCCCTGGGCCTTAGGCTAGTTCCTTACCCTAAAGCACCCAACTCACAGTGTAAGGCATTTGTGTGAAGTGCACAGAACGATTTGGGGTATGTGAATGCAGCTGTTATTCTTAATTGGAATCAATTTGAAGTAGTGGCCC